AAAAAGCAAATTACATAAATAATAGCAAAAGCACCTTTTATTTGACTCTGCTCGGTTTGGTAATTTTATCTTTTTAGCATTCATGTCTAAGCTGTCCCTTGCAACCAGAAGAGCCAGCAAAATACTTGTATGTATTTACAAAAAAAACACCAACAAACACACACAAACACAGTCTTTTTAAAGCCTCTTGTAGCATTTGAGAAGATGGGCTCAGCTCCTCGTCTGCTGCTTTCTAAAGGAGCTAGACATTCTAAAAAAGTGAATTATATTGAACAGGAGATATTGATGGGACAATACAGCTGAAAGCAAATAGCATATGGCAGCTTGGGCAGCACCCCAAGTCAATTTTGGAGTTGGTATGTTCATTTACATTACTAGAGAGTTTCAGAGATGTGTCTTACTGAAATTTTAGCTCCTGCCAAACTGAACACATGGGAAAAACAAACATTTCTTTTTGGTATGCATCGATGAGTACATTTTGGCAAACAGCCTCATGGCAGCATCTTCAGGCCCAGCATTGGATCCTTCAAAGAACCTCACTGAGTATTCAGCAGGGAAAATCATGTGAAATCCCGGTGTTTGAGTCAGTTTTCCCCTACTTCAGACATTTTACAGCCAGGGGCACAGCGTGTTAGTGTGCCAGCCTGTCTCTCTCTGCAAGCAGCTCCTGTGCATGTCCCAGGGACCAGCAGCCACCCTTGCATTTCCATGGGGAGAAAAGACAGGTAGCTCTGAGCCCAGCAGCCTCCTTCCACCTTGTATCAGACTTAACAGACATATTCTAACCTAACCCAAGCTTTCTGCTGGGAGCGAGCATCCCATGTGCTGCTGCCTGTACAGTGAATGGTGCTGAGGGTTGACCTGAGGCTTCAGAAATTTTTCCTTTCTTTGCCACCAGCTCCTGCTGTGGGTGGTCGTAAAATTATAGAAACATCAAGGTTGGAAAGGTCCTTAAGATCATCAAGTCCAACCTACAGCCCTACATCACCCTAACACTAAACCATCTCCTGAAGTGCCACATCCAGCTGTTTTTTAAACATGTCCAGGGATGGTGACTCCACCACCTCCCTCGGCAACCCATTCCAATGCTTCATCACCCTTTCGGTGAAAAAGTTTTTCCTAATATCCAATCTAAACTTCCCCTGGCGCAACTTGAACCTGTTCCCTCTTTTCCTACCGCTATTCACTAGGGAGTAGTGCGAGGGATTTGCTCCTGCATCCTTGCTCCTGGGCAAAATCCACCATGGTAGCCATAAGTGTCCCAGGTCCCCAGAGGCAACCAGGTGCCTCATGCCTTGGTTGCATCACGCCCAGATGCTTTCCACGGGTGCTCACCCTGCTCGGCAATTCCTTAAGGCCTCGTTTATCTTCCTTATTAAACAAGGAAGGTAATTGTTTTCCCTAGAGCACAGCTCAGCCTTTCAGCCAGACCAAAAAACCATTAAACCCAAGAAATCAGACAATAAATGGAGGCTCTCTTTCATGATCCACCAGAATGCAAACCAATAATCATGCCCATCAAATGACCACTCAGATATGGTTACCTCTGCTGCTGCGTCTGTCTCTGATGAGCCCTTCTACCGTCTGCAGAACATGAGGGTTTCATTTCAGTTACACCATCTCGTTTGCACCCGAAGAAAAATGCCAGTTTTGATCCAGCAGCTACGTTATCAGATTCTCCTTCGCACCAGGGCCCGGCTATCTAGAAGAAAAACAAAACGTGCTGCGAATAACCCACCTCGAGCATCTCCAGAGGGCTGAGCAACCAGGCACTGCAATGTTAGCTCAGCATCCCCAGTATCCTCAGCCTTGGCTGGGATAAGATAAATATCCTCTGTTAATACACGTGACAAGTACCAAAGTGAGGAACAAGCTCTATTTCTTGACTTTACAGATGTGTAATAACGGAATCTATTAGCCACACCAGTGTGATCTCAGCCAGCAAAACGGTGCTGGATTATTTTCCTCTCTTTGCTGCTCCATCTGTTCATGCTATCACTAGCTAAATGTGCTGCAAGCATATTACATGACAACAAACCTATTTGCACCGTTACAGTTCTTTTTGCCTTACTCCCTGGAGATTTGCATAAAGTCCAGGCTTTATTTTGGCAAAAATAAGGCTGCCCACTTTCCATCTCCTCCTGTGCTTGTGTTCTTTATAATTTAAAACTCATTTTCAAGGAGAAATTTTAAGGCAGAGGCAATGCACTGCAGCAGTTGGATGTTAGACAGGTGCCCCGTGCTGAAACCTCCTCTCAGTTCATCTTTGTTCCAAGTGTGGATGAGTAACAAACTCTGCTCCTCCACAGGAAAATGCTCTGCCCCAGCTCATGGCACTACCTTCCCCTCCAGCTTTTCCTTTTTTCTTTTTCTTTTTTTTTTTTTTACTTAGAACAAGAGCATCAGAGCACTTAGGGGTCAGGTCAATGATTTCTGGCAAGATGAGTATCACTTATAGGTTCCAGCTGAGTTTGGTGGAGGATTTCGGCAGTAACTGAAATGGGAGAAAGGCATAAAGAGTTTCCATCTTTCCTGGGAGGGACCACACGTTGCCACTACCAGCAATGCATGGGACCAACGTTCCTTCCAGCCCTGTGCTTCTACAGCACAGTGCTTGGGAGCTGAATTGCTCCTTAAATACAGACAAAAGGCTGCATTAAGTAAGCCCTCAGTTAAGGACAAGGATGAGTTTACATCAGTAGGAAGGCAGTGATGAAGGCAGCCTGAAGCTCAAGCTTTGTGCTATATCAGGGGCTGTCACTGCTTACTCTCGAGCTGAGCAGGTTGAAACAATACCGACAACCACGATCTCCACCGCTGCACATGCACAGCTCACACAGCAAACCCCCCAGCATCCCCACAACATCCTGCATAGCCACAGTCCAGGCAGCCCAGGTAAAGGTGCAAAGGGCTAATTTTGGCACAGCAGTTGCAAAGATAAAATTTAAGAGCCTCTTCCATACACTTGGGCTCTTCTGGGACCAAGTCCAAGCCCAAACTTGCTTTCTTTTTGTATGCCTTCCTCTCTCCCACCCCAAACCCACAGCTGCTGCTCTTGGCTTTATGAAGTAAAAGCATGTGGAGTGCAAATCACAGCTCCAAAGTACATGGTTGCTGAGACTTCAGGGATCGCCTGAGAGATATTGGCCATTAACTGATGCAGTGCTGTCAGGCTGAGAGCCCAGAGCTGTACCTCAGCAGGGCAGGTGGGACCTGGCACCCCCAGACCAGGCAGACAGGTACTGCATCACCTTTAAATGCAAACAGGAGCATCTCTTCACCCAGAGGTGAAGTGCTTGGAGCAATATCAGTCTCAGGCACATCTGTCCTTTTGCAGTGCCCTTGCCTAAATCACTATATGACAGGCTGTGGTGCCATCCTGCACAGCAGATGGGGAAACCCATGCGGCTTGGAAAAATATCTGGCCAAGAAAGTGGGGGTTTGGCAGCAAGTGGAGTCTGAGAGGCCTTCAGCAGCCCATAGCATCACACCCCACGGTGAAACACCCAGACACAGTAGGAAAGGCACTAGCTTTAACATCCATGTGGGTCTTCCACTGCTCTGACTCATTCATCACTGCATTTAATTCATGGTTTCCCCAAGCTGCTTGACAGGAATGACCTGTTCTCAGCAGGAGAGGGGGGAAGAAAAAATGGAAAAATAGAGACCAAGCATTAAGAAACTCAGGAGGGAGGCAAGGTGTTGACTTTATACTTTCATTTGAAAAGAAGGAATTAAAAAATACTCTGAGAGAGCCGCTCTGCTCCTTTGTGCCCCATGCGACCAGTTGTAAAGCAAAGTCATGAGCTGGTGCTTTGTGGTTGAAAACATGAACGGGCTGCGTCGCTTCAGGGATTAATAATTTCTTCTGGTAGGTGCCACCACTGGCCAGTAGCATTTCGCACCTCAAACCCTCTCCATTTTCATCAAGGAGGAGTTGAGTGGTTCCTCCACAGACGTTCTGCCCACGAGTGCTGGACACTTGGCTCTGCCATGATCCTCATTCCCCTGTGCAACCCTTCTCCCAGCACTCCTCTTCAACAGAAAAGCCAAAAGAGGCCCCAATTGCTCCAAACCTAATCAGGAATCCCAGTGGGATGAACTGCTGCTAAATGAACCTTGGCTCTGATGACGCTTTGAGCTTCTCCCTCACACGCTTGGTGTTTGCTGGTTTCCACGTGTTTCACAGCTGACCTCCTCTTCTAACCCTCCTCCTGACAAAAAAAACCCCACTGCATGACATTAATCTTGTTGAACAAATAATCCTTCCTACATATTTTCCAACTGCTCTGCCTTGGAAATGAATAGCTCCCTACAGCTCTGAGGAAACTTTGTCCTCTGAAACCCCTCAGACACCTTGGGAAGCATATGGAGAAGCACAAATCTTTCCCTCACGCACCCATCCTACTGTGTTTGGCCCAAAACCTCCAGCAGCTCCAAAACTGAAGAATATGACTCACTTTGGTCGACGTTTTCAGGTGGGTTTGTGCTAAAGCTGCCTTTCTTCCCCAGCAGCATCACTAACTGGCAGGAGCAAGGGATGAGGATGCTCTTTGGCCAGCCCCTGGCCCCAGGCTGCTTCTCCCATGGAAGACTGGAGATGCTTCTGGTGCTCCAAGGATTGAATTTCCTTCCAAAACTTGAAGATTTAACAAAAGAGCTGCATGTAGAAATACCTACAGTTCAGCCAACAGCCAGCTGAGATGGTGCCCCTGGTTGAAAATCACTTGCAGGTGAAAAAACAACGTTTCCCCAGAGCTCAGTGCCATCTCCCTGCGTTGCTTCCCACTTCTCCCTCGGCAGCAGCCACCCCTTGTCCCCGCAGAGGAACGGCCGGAGACAGGTCAATGTTTAACCAAGTCAGGAAGGACGCGTGCGTATGTGGGAGCCAACCCCAGCCAGGAACTCTCCGAGCCCTGCGACTGCATAGAAAGATCCCTCCATGTTCAGGGAGGGCAGTGCAGGAGGGTTTTTTCCTTCTCCTTTCAAAGACGCTGCCCCGCAAAATGGGCCTGAGCTCTTCCAAGGCTCACCCCAAGGTGACCAAGGTGGCACCAATGCGTGCCGGGGAGGATCTGCCGGCTCTTGCCACCCGGTACCAGCTCCCCGGTGTG